TGTCGATTGGCTTTACTGGAACATTCATGCTGACGCTGTTTCCGAGGCAATCTCCTTCGATTCTGGTGAAGACGCGCTAAGCTTTTGTGCGTCATATGACGAACCTCGTCAGATAAATGTATCATCATCACAACTAGATTCAAGCTAACCAGTCAAGACGAAAGCTTAGCACCTTTTCACCAGAATCGAACGAGATTGCCTCGGAAACAGCGTCAGCATGACTCTTCCAGTAAAGCCAATCGACAGCTGGAATGGTGGAACTAACCATCGAATCTCTTCACCCAACACTTCCACTCGAAATGGAAGTAAGCTCAACAATTATGAAACAAGATATTCCTTAAAACCCAACTTTTCTTCGTATATATCTGGGATCAGTTCAAATGAGTCCGAAACTGCAGTCCACGTCAGCCTTAATGAGAATACCTTTTGGGAAGGTAGGCGTTCTGGTATGAAATAGAATCAGGAGGCCTATTTATATGATAGTGGGAAAATTCATCTGCTTATCCTTTGTCACCTTAACAGTGGTAGGGTGAACACATCTCATCTATAAGGTTAAACCAACGCTTTCCAAACTCTAAAGGGTCAATAGCCGGTGTTTGTGCCTCCTTGGGTTGGCTGATGTGAATTGGGCAAGACCGAAACCCCACCCGATCCCAATCGAGATTGCCAGTTATACAACAAGGCACAATTCATAGAAGTGGGTTGAACTCGTTGTCGCAACTTGGTCTTGTTGTCAGGGCGACTTAGTAGAACGTGATTCCCAGCATCAGACAGTTGACTTGGTACATTCTCATAGTTCACCGTCTGATGCTGGGAATCATGACAACTACTATGGCAGACGACTTCGGACGAGACCAAATTGCAACAACGAGGTCAACCCATTTCCATAAATCGAAAGGAGACTGCGAACATACCAGAGGCCACAACATCTTGGTCTTCATATCTTCAAGGTACAACCCAGTTGACTGGCAAAAGCACTTGTTTGGTTGCCATTGACATCTTTACCCCAAGCAGCCTACATGAGGGTGAACTCTGATGATCCCGACCAATCGGTTGTTATGACTAGCAGATTGTCCATTCTGTCCCAGTCCTCTTTGGATTGGATGGATTACAGAAGTATCATCCAAGTCATATTTCGTTGCTTATACTTTCCGAAATCCTTGAAACCGGGAGCACGAACTGAACCTCTGGGCTTGGTCATCTTTTGAGGTAGTCCGATCTTTCAGTGGTGCTTCACACGTCGTGAAGTGAAGTGGAGGCAAACTTTCAACTGACTTGGCCAAATAAATGAATAGACAAAAAAATAAAAAAATAAAAAACTAATCTTAAGTAATCATTAATTTATCATCATCTTGACTTGAGGTAGGTGGCAAGGCTGGATTGTTTTGTCGCCGTCGGTAAGCGCCTGAACTTGCCGGCCAAACAAGTTGAAGACATGAAAGGGTACATTTGTGCGTGTGCATCGTAACTCTTTCTCTGATATGTCCGAGGCTGATGTGGGAAAAGCTGCTCCGATTTGAGTAGGTCAGAGTACCAGCTCGGCGCTCTCCTATTGGTGGTCGCGTACGAAATATGAGCTTTTCACTCCTCCTCCGGCCAACTGGTCTGTCTCTCTTTGTCTACATGTGTATGTCTGTCTGTAGGTCTGACTGTGCGTCATCAGGCCTGTCCATTTGCCTACAGGCCTGCGTCGAGCTGGAGTCAACAGATGAGGCTTAGGCAGTGGAAAAATGCACCGGCAAAATATGGTATGGGACAAACAGTCTCCTGTGAACCGGTGGTTGAATGGGCATACGAGAAATGGTACAAGATTAAGTGTTTATCTGCCTCAGTAACACAATTCCATCTTGGAGTAGGTTTCATGTTGTGTGAAGAGGCGAGTGGAATGCAGTCTTTTGTGCATGACAGACCGATGAGCCTAGTTGTGCCCAGTTCTCGGAGAGCAAAAGGTACAGACTGAGACCGACAACGGAACAGGGGAGAGAACGGGAGACGAGAGAATGCGAACCGACACGCTGGCAAGAACGAGAGAATGAGGCAGGTCAACTGGCCGAAGAAGAAGTCAGGCCAGACGACCAGACGTCCCAACTCTCGAAGACACTTGCGGTCGTCCCCTCGACTGCCCATCTTCCGAGACAGCCGAGGCAAGTGGCGACTGTATCTGAGGCCAGATACAGAAAATGTGCGTGATAAAGAGACAGAGAGAGAGAGAGAGAGAGAGAGAACATTGACAAAATAGCAACAGAACTGACGTAAAGACAAAACAGACTCCGCTTTGATCATCCACACCGACCAGCCTGATTGGAGTACAGAGAGAGCTTTGTTTCCACGTCACTCCCAAAAAGTCCGCACTCATTGCCGATCTGAAGGCCATTTCAACAACCTCCACACCTTCAACGTGACGACCCACCGACAAAAAGGGACCTACCGACCTCCGGTCCACTCTCAGACAACCGTAGTCGTCACAGTGACACACATACACATACACATACACATCCACACACCTACACACCTACACACCTGCACACCCAGAGCTGATCGTGGCGTC